AAATTGTATTACTAGGAAGTTCATATGAACGGTGGTGTTCCAATTCTATTGAGCCAGTCAATTTAATGAAGAACTTGGGTTTACCAACACTCACATTTGCATCACCTGAAAATTTAAACCATAAGCTAAGTTTTTTTTTTGGTACATTTTTATAAGGCATATGTTGAAAAAAATTGTGAGTCAAGAGTAACTAAACCACGAAGTTTGTACCTAGGATATTATACTGCTGGTTGAAATTTCAAGTGAGACAGCCCAAAGACATCATTTGAAGTCAAATAATTGTAAGTGTGTGACCTCAGAATGCCTTAGTGCTTCACCACATAATCCCCAGCCAAAAATTATCAGGTTGCATTTTCTCTGTACTGTTCTTTATAAATTTCCTTAGGTGCTGAAAATGAGAATTTGTTTAACAATCAAGATCTTTTTGGTTGTTGATTACTTCCTTTATTCTCATATTCTTAACAAGTGTTTCAGGGGTAATAAAGTAAGGAGACATTAGATGTTAATCACACTTCAAAGAGTTAAAAGCAGTGAATATAGCTGGTTGATGGCCTCTTGAAGGCCACTGGTATAAACAAGCCTAATACATGAATTTGGTAGACTGGCAATGGTACTTGTGCCAAAAGTTATGGGAAGGAGAAAAGTGCTGAAGTTAATTTTTGTCTCTGCAGCATGCTGAGAAGAGAAAAAGGTACAAGTAGCAGGTGACTAATGATTACAATTACAATGGCCATGTCTTTTTCTTGTCTTGTTATAGTGAACTAGATTCATTACATTGAATAATTTTATTAGGATTTTTTCGCTTGGGGAAACCTTGGATGGGGTTCATCCCAAGAAAGACAGATGGTGTTATGTGTTACCCCTCCTAAAACTCAACCCTTTGACTCCTTCAAGTTACTAGCATCTAATCTCTCTTTATAACATCACCCCTGAATCAAGGGAAATGATTGCCAGCTAAAGAAGCTCTTGACTGTTGAACAAATTCTCCTTATAGGCTCCTTCGGAAATACACAGAGAATAGCATGGGGAATATGCTTAATGTTGCTACAGTAAGGGTGGAAAAGGTTAAAACCAGTATTTAAACCAGCATGTAGGCTTCACCCCTTTCTATATATTCTACATTTATTTTTTTTTTCCTTCCTTTCCAGCAAAAGAACCAGAAAGAGTAAGCTTCAAGTGTATTTCATGAAACAATATTTCATTACTGTTGTGATATCTATAAAACAGAAGACTGTCAAACCTTCTTCCTTGGAATCTGAATCAAGATCTGTATCTCCTTTAGTTGCAACTGTTTCATAAATGACACAGATACTTCTTCTCTGTTTGGCAAGAATGTACTGCACATATTCATGATCCAGATTCAATGTTGTGTCTGCTAGAACCTTCTTCAAGTTATCCCAAGTGACTTCTCTTTTCAATACAGTTCCCACATCCATGCTGATTGTAAATGAGTCTATTGCAGATGCATCAATTCCAAACTCTGATGCAATTTTGCCTCCCAGTTTACCACTTACATGGAACTTTGGTTCATTTTTGTAATCAGAGATGAAAGTGGATTTTTCAATATGACCTTTGATAAGAACTGGCTGAGGAACAAAAAAAGGAGAAATTTCTGGTAATAAGAATAGCAAAAGGATTTGCACGTCATTCCTGTGTATGGTGCTGATCAGAAATACTTTGCTCTCAAATTCAAATATCAAGGAGACACCAACAGAAGGTATTAAAAGCATTTTCAAAAACATCATCCAGAAAACTCGAGTTAAATGGACAGGTGAGCAAAACAGCTGAAGAGCATTATTTCTTTTCAAACCTATCCTTTATTAAAATGTTTCCTTTATTAAACTGCTGATTTAGAAGCTGCCTTTATCAAGGTGGCATTATCATACAGGGTCTAATACAGGCGCAAATGCAACTAAATTTTTCACTTTGGCTACCAATCCTGAAAATTAGTTGCCAAATTGGCAACTAGAATGTTTCATCATAACCTTACTTAGAGATATAGTGAATTTAAAAGATTTGCAAAAGATAAATCCATGGCAAACTTCCTCATTAAGTCTGTTTCCAAAACATAGCACATGCACCTCAATCAATGACTAGATGCCATTTTGGATTTAGGATGTAGGTGAGCTTGAAGGTTGTATATCTTCCATCCTAGCGTCCACTCTGTAGCAGGTGAAAGATCTTTTTCCTAACTTAATTTTGGAGGGCCTATCTAGTGCCTTGACAGTGTAAAAAAAGGGTTTTGTTTGTCTTTGAAAATGGCGACCAGCATTTTTTGAATTGGCTACCACTTTGAAGAATTTAAGAGCCAAGAGGCTATCAGAAAAAGAAAAAAAATTAATTTTACGCCCTGTCATAAGATATCTTTTAAATGATACCAAGAAAACAATTCTAGTAACCAGGCCTTCACTGCAATTTTCTAATCCTTTTCTAGGCAAGTTCATGTCCCGTTATTCCACTGGAAGATCAGACCCTTCTTAATTCCATAAAACTGGTATATTCTATGCAAATTAATATTAAACCTGATACCTTTTTTTCAAATGTGGTCTTAGCGAAAAACACCTTATAAATTGAAAATCATACACTGCAATCAGCCAAAACATTCCAAGAAACAAAGCTTCTGCTGTATTTTCTGATCCTTTTCCAAGAAAGTTGGTATTCAGTCATTTCATTTGAAGACATTTCTCTCAATGTGCATGTAAATATTATGACCTGATTATTTCTTTGAATTTGGACATGAGGCACGACAAATTTTTAACAAATATACTATGTAGAAATATAATATATAGATATATATAACATATATATATGTATAGACACCCATTTTCAAAAACATTTCAATTTGAAAAAAATATATGACATATATAAAAATTTTGTTTATCATCAAAAAGTGTCTCTTTTTTATGAGAAAACAGGGATAGCTGCGTAGTATTGTTGAGTACCCACTCATGTGTGGGAGAGGCATCATATGATATAATCACAATTTGATCACACCTTACATTCGCATCGAGTCCGAAATCGTCACTTTTTGGGAGGATTATCTGTCAAGATACTAAAAATTTTTGTGAACGTCTCTTTCAAGGCACGCTTGATGAAGGAAAGGAGCAACTTCAGAATACCCGGCCACTCGTTTACATGTCATTGAATAAGAATAATGGGAGCAACTTCAGAATACCCCGCAACTCATTTACATGTCATTGAATAAGAATAGCGTCTATTGTGTTATGCCTCGATCTTCAAAGCCTCCCGACACATGTAAGTGAGGCATGTCATTGAATAAGAATAATGTCTATTGTGTTATGCCTCGATCTCCCAAGCCTTCCGACAAATGTAAGTGACCGGGTATTCTGCAGTTTAGATGAAGGAAAAAAATCCTGTAACGAAAAACACCTTGAATTCGAAAACTTCAATTTATTAAAATACAAAGCTCGTACTCGCGAACCTCCCCAAGAAGCAAGATTTAAAAGGCTCACAATGGCCAACATATGTTTCTATATGTCCATATCCTACACACCGTTTTGGGTGAGGGCCTATTATCTCCCCTAAAATCTTATGTTAATATTTTCATCTAACCTTCGTTAACAGTTCATTCAAAGTAAAGGGTGTAGACTTGTATGTGTCTGCCTTCCAAAACCAACGGCTTCTTTTTCTCGTTACAACACATAGAATACTACAACGTGTCGACGTATTTAAATCAAGAATTGGACGAAGGGTCGATCGCCCTGTGTCTTTGATAAACTGTTTGGAACAGGCTTCGAACAGCGCCATGTTTACCATGAAAATAGAAGATGATTTAAAAGCATGCTGGGAAATGTATGCAGTGACATCTGGCTGGTTGCTGGTCGCAAATATCCCATTAAAACTGACATTTTCATGCTCCTGACAATCACGCTTTTTGTCCAAAAATGTTCAAATCATGCTCATGTTTCAAAATTATGTTCTTTTGGTTTGAAAAATTCTTTGTTTTATTTTAAAGAAGAAAATACATGAAAGGCATCTTGAGTGTTTTACGTTATCTGATTAAAGTGAAAAACATCTTTCTGTCTCTTTTACACCTACATAAGACTTGGTAGTCATAAAAATTACATTTTCCTCGACCGTCTAAACACTTGTAACGTTTTTTGCCAACAACTGATCCGTTGGTTGGTCTTATTACTCAGGGACTTTTTGCTCGGGGAAGGGGAGGGGGACTGTCTTGAATGTTTGTGCAAGTGTGGTTTTTGTTACCTTTAAATGTGTCAAAAACAAAGTTTAAATAAACTTATGACAATGCTCGTTTCTTTTGACCTTCTCTCCGGCAAATTCATGTCAGGTGCGTATCTAAAATTGAACATTTTGAAAGTGGAAAAAAATATAAATAGCATCAAACATTGATTAAAAACATATATTTTATGTCTACAATCTGAATTAAAGTCTTCTAAAAATCAGACGCAGTTGATCTGTTTTTCCATTAATGACAATTGAAGGACTTGGAAGCATATCATTAACAGGTGGATAAAAACGTTATTGTGATCAACACACAATCATAATTGAGCAATAGAAATCCTACCCTAATCGGGGAAATAAATATATTGTATCGTTTACGGCGGCCTAGAGTAAAAATTTTGAATCTATCGTGGGAACTTTTTGAGTATAAAGACTGACTGATATATTTCTATTGATGACGGTGTATTTTTAAACAGTTTAAATTTATATCCAGGGACATTTTGGGAAGACAACTACGGATAAAATATGGCAGACTGCTTGAGAAAAGGATTACTGATAATCAATGCAGGACACCCTCTCGAACTTGCCAGGACTGTATGACGTAGTTGGCAGTTTAAATGCGCATTAAAAGAAAACAACGGTATCTAAGGCAGTTTCTACTGGGATGTTACTTGAAAAGTACGATTTAACTGCGTGTGGGGCTGAACAGTTTTAATTGAGACCTAATATCTCTCATTGCAATAACAGGTAACTTACAGGAGAAGGGAATCAAACGTTTATTGTGCTGCGCAATGATGGCGACAACAAATTTAATCGGAGGTAAAATACAGTTACTTTTGTAAGATTTGCATTAACTAACTAATTGGTAGATTATAGTTGCATTATCGACCAATTTCTTTCACAGCGGTGCACATTTTCTTCTCCGTCACAGCATTTCTTGGGAATTCTCTGATCATTGTTTCCCTTTACAAGGAATCTTCCCTTCATCCACCGTCCAAACTCTTGTATCGTTGTTTGGCAACAACTGATCTTTTGGTTGGTCTTGTTGCTGAGCCTCTCTGCGCTACTGTGAACGTTTTGGATTCCTGGACTCTCGAACACCGAGGAATTTTCCGATACGCAAATGAAGCGGCCGTCATCACAAGCTTAGTATTATGTGGAGCGTCTTTATTGACGATGACGGCCATAAGCGTAGACAGATTGCTCGCCCTGTTGTTGGGGCTGAGATACAAACAAATCGTAACTTTGAAGCGGACATATATCGTTGTAGCAACTCTTTGGGTTTCAACTCTTGTTGCTTCTTTGTGTGCCATATTTGACCACCATATAATGGTTTTTAACGGCAGCATTTTAATCCTAATTTGCCTTGTTATCTCAATCACCTCATACACAAAAATCTTCTGCGCTCTTAGTCAACATCAGGCTCAAGTACAAGATCATTCTCAACAACAGCCGATCCAGCCAAGTGCACTGAACATGGTGCGGTACAGAAAGGCAGTGTATAATGCACTTTGGGTTCAACTGGCATTAGTTGTTTGTTATGCACCATATGGTATAGTGGAAATAGTGCTCAGTAAGACATATTCATCGCACGTATGGGCCTTTAGGGACATAACAATCGTCTTAGTCTATTTTAACTCGACGTTGAATCCGTTCCTTTACTGCTGGAAGATCAGTGAAGTAAGGCAAGCAGTAAAGCAGACCATCAGGCAAGCACTTTGCTGTCCATGGAGTTAGATCCCCTTTGAGTCACATCAGTTAACATTTTAAAAGCTGACTTAAGAGGTCACAGGTTTCCTTTTTTTTTTTTTTACAAGGTCGTAGGATATTTTATTGGAAGGAAGAAATAAGAGACTTAATGAAGTCGTTGCGCAAGCTGTTGTCGATAATCTTCATTTCCTTATCTTAACCCTTTAACTCCCAGATAAAAATTTGTAATTCTCCTTAATCTCACCCATACAGTTCTTATGTTAGTTCAGAGAATTTAGTATTGGATCAACTAATTATTCCCAAACTGATATTTTTCTTTATTCTCATCACTTATCTGGTTGATGTTGTATTGATATTGTAAGGAGAAATTCTGTCTTGGTCACTCATGAGAGTTAAAGGTTAAGAATATTTTCCAAACGACGTCACTTGTCCCGAATACGACAGTACACAAAAAAGGTAAAAAAAAGGTATCCAAGCATAGTGTAGAAAGGAAAAAGATATTTATTTCATTTTACTGTCTTGAATAAATTTCTTGTTAATATAAAAATATAGGGTGAAAATGACATCTTTTAGAGTTATTTTTACTGACAGTAATGAAAGCGCTCTACTGTCACACGGCTAGCTGTAAACTTAATTAATGCTTATTGTTTTAGAGATGTAATTATTACTCCTAAGCAAATGTGTGACTCAGCGTTAAAATAAAATTGATCATCACCGGTTCTTAAAGAGTTCTTTTTAAAAATTTTGGTTTTTTCGAAATTTAACGTATTACTTCACCCTCTTTGCTCTGCTACATATGACTTTCTTCCAAAGAAGACGAAGTTTCATCTTATTTTGTGATTTCATTATGTTCGAGTCTTGATGGAAATTAAATCCTAAATTAAACTTTACCTACTATACAAACACGTAGATGTGGCACACATTAAATTCCCGCCTTTAGGGCAATCTCATAACGGGCTCTGAAATAGCTAATAATTAAACTGAACATAGGTGTAGCAGAAGGGGAAGGAAGAGTGAGTACAGAGAACCAGTGGAACAGTGATTTGGTACCACACATTCATTTCAAAAACAATTTTCTGCTGGAAACCAAAGTGATCTCAGAGTGAGAGAAGAGACGCTCAAAACAAGTTAGTAATCCGCTTGATTTGCTTAAAACTACTTTGCTTAAAAATAACACCCAGCCGGAAAAACAAAATTTTATTATGAAGAATGGCAACAAAGCTAGGGACGTTCTCTGTGACTCACGACAGCGTTACCGAACGTTAAGAACCAATCAGATGGCAAGATTCGTTACCGTGCCCTTTAAGAAAAAAAAAATATTTAGATCAACTAATTCTTTCGAAGTTACTTCGGAAAGACAGGGGATGTGCTCAACATTTTTCAATCGACGCCAAAATTAGTCATTTTACTTCACTATTGTTTTGTAGAGGAGGTCAAGAAAATCTATCGACTCGCGTGCACATAGATTGTTTCTACTTTTTAAACCCTTTGTCACACGACTTTAGGGTTTTGTATTCATTGAAACGATGCAATTCTTGAATTTCCTTTTACAAGCACTCGGTCTCCTGCTTAAAACCTGTTCAGCCTGTCTTTTCGCGTATACGTCCCATACAGCGTCTACTGAATTTTTTAATCGGTCTTTCGTCTTTGGTTCCTTGCAGATACAACAAATGAAATCAACCGAATTGTTTCTTTACCACAATGGTTTTGTAAGCGATGGAGCGCAAAGTGCGCACGGAAGAGCAAACGCACAGCAAGGGGGGAAAAGTTAAATCCTCTGGGGCTTTTATTTCACTCGCATAAAATCTTTTGTTCCAACACGCGCGAGCTGAAGCAGAAAACAAAATTACAAAAGTATTTCTTCGACTTAGATCTCACTCTCAAGGCAGCCCGGAATTTTAAGAGCAAAGTCACTGTTTGCGCATCTAAAACCAATTTTCAGTGATTTAGCACTGACATTTCTAGTCGTTTATTTCCAGTTCGTTTTTATATCTCCTCTATCCGATTTATCCACTGGCTCCCGAGTGTCTTTCATTCATTTGCAATTCGTATCAATCTTCTCCGTCCATAGTCATCCCTTTTCCGCTCTGGTTACTTTTCACCTATTTTTGTGTTGTTCTACCTTATCGAACTTATATATTGTAGTCATTTGTAGTCTTCTCCAGTCTTGATCATTCATCTTCCTTCTTGTTTGATCGTTACTTCTTTATCAAACTATTATCCTTGTTGCTTTTAGATTTCATTGTCGCCTAGCTCTTTTGTGTTTGCGCGTCTTACCAAACAGACATTTGGTAGATTCCTCCGAATTAAGGAAAGGTTTCCGAGGCACAAAATCTAACACTGCATGTCACGATAAAACGTCTTCGAGTTGCAAGAATTTTGCAACTCTAAAAAGTGTGCTCTTGTAAACCTAATCTATACTCCTAAAAAGGGCTATGATAGATATCTACACTAAGGGTAGTTACCTCCGCCGTTCTTGTAACAAAGATACGGAAAATGCCAAATATCCCTCAGCCGACAGCATAACTGATACACGACGCTGTGAAATCATTTTTCGAGGTCAATTTTTCGCGCTCTTCATTATGGCTTGCATCGGTGCTTTCGCTCACCGTTATAACAACAGCTTTGGACCTTATTCGTCATTAGTTCAACTTCTTACTTTAAATCAGCTTCCCAAATTCAAGCTCACATCTTCAAATGAATCTGCTTCCTTGCTGACGGAAACCAAAGCGAGAAGTGATAATGATGTCATAGAAGGTAATGATGCAATCTGGTGCTGACGTCATTGATCAACTGACTGTTATGGCGGGAAATTGAGTGTAACTGACTAATAACCCTAACTCTCTCTTAATCGAGCAGCTCTGTGATCAATTTGCTTCTTTATTTAACATTAATGAGCTCAAAGTGACTGACCTTAATTTCTTAATCTGCTTCCTCACACTTTCGACATCGATATCGTAGCAATTCACAGGACACGTCAGAAATGAACCTAGTAAAGGCCTGTTTCTGTGGCTCACTAGTAGGTCACAAAAACCGCCATTAAAATGGCATCACAGACACAAAAATCCACATAATACGACCGTTCAACTGCAAACTCCAATCGGCTCATGTGATAATCCTATCCGCCCCTTAGTAAAGTTTACAAACTCAAAACAGTGTATGTGCGCGCGCTTTGCCACATCGTTCACTGCGTCTACCACACCAGTTCAGTCGTCTCTTTTACAGTCCCTATCAGCACGTCTCTGCTACGCTCTAAGAGTCTTAGTAAGTACGGAGCTACAAAAAGAAAATAAAGTTAAAATCCGAATAAACGGCACGATTTTACTAAAAATTATGAAATTAAACTAGATCCAACGTAACCTCATCTTGTCAATTTACAGCAGTTAACTTCTGAGAACAAGATCAAGTCTGAAACTTCACTATGCGAAAATGAAGCTTATGGCCAGGGAATGAACAACTCCTTGTCATGTAGAAACAAAAAAAAAATTACTTTAACTCCTCAACGATGAAGTGACGTAGATCGAAACTAAAATAACAAATAATTACAAAAGTTACAAAAAATATGAGATAAAGAAACAACTAACAACACGACAGGAAAGAGGACTATAAACACTTACGTTGTTACGGCCACAAAAGAGACCCATATTAATTCTGCAAAATGCAAAGGCCAAAATAGGAAAAAGATGAGCGAAAACGGCGTTAAGCTATCAAACCGTGCTCAGCGCGAAAAAGAAGAAGACAGTCATATTGCAGATATATATATATCGATAAATTATGCAAGGTAGCGAGAGGGCGGCGATAAAAAATGACGAAAAGAAAAAAGTGCTAATGAAACAATAGGTATAAACATCGGCTCGTTATCGGGTGAAAAGACTTAAATAATAAACTTTGAACTCGTGAAAAATCCAACATGAAAAAATTTCGCACTTAGAACTTACAAAGTCTAAACGGCTTTTTTAATTTTGATGTGACAAAAAAAAAGAGAGAGAGCGGTACGATTCGTGAAGGAGGCCTATGCACGCATTGCACGCACATTTCGTGGCTTCGATTTGAATAACAACAGTTTGAGCAAAGTAGTCGATAAACATGATCCTATCTCAGCTTGGTTGTTACTGCGGAATGTGTCGTAGCATCTCTTGGTAGTTTTTTTTCTTTGTTTTCGCTGTTTGCACGAACTACCAAGCGTTGGGCCACAAGGGACTCTTATACACCTAAAGATCCTTCATTATGCAGATTTTGTGCCTTGCACGTTTAGTTTAGTTCAGTTGGCGTCCAAGTTCAAGTTGTACCGTTTCTTGTATATGAAAAACGCGGAAAAGGTGTGTATGTTTTGCTTCTAGATTTTGTACCTTCGGCTTTTGTATTCGATTGTATCTGTAACATTTTTTTTAACCGTGGAACTGATTCTTGAGTAACGACATTTTCTTTTTAAACCTGACAAAGAGTGAATGTATCGTCAGTGAACTGTTCAAGAATAAAGTGAAATTTGTGTCCTTGAATTCGTTTGTGTGCGGATCTCATCTAAGGTTTTGTACTTTTTTGAACAGGTTCCCATTGCACATAATAGGGAGAGAGAACAGTGTAATTCCTTATTTCACATAATTTCCCTGAAATTCCTAAAGGAAGGCCAGGGAGCAAAGAAAGGAAAAGTACTAATTTGTACGCACACATTGCCATTGAGGAAAACTTCCAAGAAAGGAACAAAAAAATGAAAATAATCAAAGTTGCTGCAAATTCTAGCCAGATGAGTTTACCGTGGTGTGATATTTTCCCCAAAGAAGGATCGACTAAAACGGTTCTGGAACAGCTCTCAAATTCTGAAAATCACACCCTCACGGGGTAAGACGCAAAAATTAACTTTCCGATTTTTTGGCGTTTAGCATTTCAACATTCAGTCGCAGCATGAACGCTCCGCAAATATTTTTTTAATCAAAGCCTACGGAAAGGTCTGCTTTCGTCGGTGAATGGGAGTAATCGTCAATCTTTTTACTGTCTGGTTTCTCTTCCCTGTTCACTTTAGCAAGGAA